AAAAATTTATTCTTGCTACTGATGCCTTTTATCATAGTTTTAAAGCTATTTTGAATCAAAAGAATAGAAATAGAAAGGAACATCCTATTGCTTATACTAGCAAAAGTCTAATAGCAGCAGAACAAAATTACTTTGCAATAGAACTGGAATATGCTGCTATTATATAGGCTATTGAATATTTTCATAGCTATCTAGGAGCTACTGAATTTACTCTTGTAACTGTTGTGCCTCAGATCGATTTTTGTCTCAGGTGATAACTGAGGCATCTCAGATGTTGATCATTTGGCCGGCATTAACTGATCGATATTAATTGGCCTAAACTACAACCTAATCCTTACCCCAACTCTAACCCTAATTTAGGCCGATCGATATCTGAGGCAAGAATTGATCTGAGGCACAATATAACTAGCCATTTTGTACTAAAATAACTTAAAACTGTAGAACTAAAAGGATAAATTAGATGATGGATTTTAAAATTACAACTCTACAACTTCACTATCATATACAAACTGGGTAGAATTCACTTCAATGTGGATACTCTCTCAAGACTCTAACTACCAGAATTTTAATAATGAATTTAGATCAATATTAAAATCTGTTTAATTATTTAAATTCTGATACCTTAACCTTTGATTTTACTACTTATTAATAAAAACAACTTTAAAATCAGGCTAAATATTTTATAATTAAAAATAGATATTTATATAAGAAAAACAAATGAGACTTAGACAAACTATTTAGAGTTATTAAATAGACTAAAATAGATCCTATCTTATATATAATACATAGTCATCCTATTACTGGACATTTGGAAATAAATACTATATACTATAAAATTGCAGAATGATATTATTAGAACCAAATATATTAAGATATTAAAGAATATATGAGTGCGTGAGAGTAAAAACCTGGAAACCGATTTAATAATTTACTATGATTGGTTTCCAGGTTTTTACTCTCACACACTCATATAAAGACCAGTAAAATATGTCAAAGAAGAAACAAATCTAAGAGAAAAGAACTACTATATTCTATCAAAATAGAACAAGCCTTTAAAAAAATTGAAATTGATCTAGTAAGATCTCTATCTATAACCACTCGCAACAATTGATATATTATTATTGCAACAAATTATTTAACATGTTGCTCAGAAACCCGAGCTGTACCAGATGCAGGAGCTTTAACTTTTGCAAAATTTATCTTTGAAAAAATAGTATGTAGATATGGAACCCCTAGAACTATTCTTTCTAACCAAACAAAAAATTTCAGAAGTAAAGTAATCAAAGTCTTATATAAAAATTTTCTTATTTGATATAAGTTTTTATTACTATATCACTCCCAAATTAATGATATAGTAGAAAAATTAAATAGAATTTTATGTGAATTACTAGCAAAAGTAGAAACAAGTAAAGACTGGGATCTTAACTTGCATACAGTATTATTTGCTTATCAAACTAAAAAGCATACTACTACAGGATATACTCTATTCTAGCTAGTATATAGAAAACAAGCTATCTTACTAGTAGAATTGATTTTTTCCTACTACTAAGACAAAAACAGAAATAAACTTAGAAAACAGTATTTTATCTTGAGTTTTTAATTTTATAGATAAGTTAACAGAAACTCAAGAGCAAGCTAAGAAGAATACAAAAAATTCTCAGAAGAAACAGAAAGAAAGATATAATAAGCAACTAAGGCTAGAAGAATTTGAAGTTGAAGACAAAGTTTGGATCTAACAAAAAGACATAGAAGTATCATATTCTGTGAAATTTGAAGATAAAAGAATTAGATCTTTTACTATTTATTCTAAGCTTAGCAATAGCACTTATCAATTTATTAATGATAAAGGACAAGTTTTACAAAAATATTATAATAGTAACAAACTTGTTTAATATTATGAACAACAATATTGGGAACCCTAAATTGTTATTAATACTTTATTACCCAACCTTAAAACTTAAAAGATTTATTATTTATTCATTTATTAATTAACATTCATTACTTATTATTTTATTAATTTATAACAATATTATTTATTTATTTATTTATTTATTAATTATTACTACTAGAATTAGATTTAAAATTTTTATTTTATTATTATTCTATTTACAAAATATTACAAAAATAATTTCTACTTTCGTATTTTCTTATCTACTTCTTAATTCTTTGACTTCAATTTCTAAATTTGCTACCTGAGTTCTTAATCTATCTCTCTTGGTAATAACTGTTTGAAGCTGAGTCTCTTGAAAAAATCTTTCGCTTACCGCTTCCAAAACCAAAAGATTCCTTGCAGATAATTCTGTTTTTTAAATTTATGACTTGGTTATTTAAAGAAGCTAAATGACTATAGACTGAACTTTCTTTTCTGTATCAAGGCATCTAAGTCACAAACTTAATTAGAAACCACTAATTTTTAAGCATATAAATTTGAAAAACAATAAAGAAAAGAATTGGCAAGACCCTTATTCCAAGAATACAACAAGCAAGGTCTATTACTTGCAATACTAGTAGAAATAAGTCTCTAACAAGAGACCATGAGTATCGAAGAGAAAAGAGAAATATATAAAAAGAAAATATCTACTTGGGTCAAATACATAGCACACTAAAGTAAAAAAACTGGCCAAGCCCTAAGTGCCTAATAAGATAAAACTCAGCGCATAGCCAGAACAAGTATACCCACTTTAGAATGATAGCAAAATAAACAACAAGAAGAGCAACAAGAAAAAATAAAAGTTTTTCGATAAAACTACAAGAAAAAAAGAAACAGAGTATTAGAAAAATTATAAGAACAAGAAAAGGAAAAAACAAAGAAAGATAAAAATTAAAGTTACTAATAGAAAGATTTTTGGGATACAATAATGCCAAAAATTAAATGATTAAATAACAGAAAAAACTTAATTAGCTGTAAAAGAAAACAATAGAATCATGCAAAAAAATAATTACAAGCAATAATGTGATTGCTAAAATAGAAAAAAAGATGGACAATTAAAACAAATAAAAGCTAATTTTAAACAAATTAGCATATGAAGTTCAGTAACCTCATATTTTAAGAGAAGGAAGTAGACAAAGAATTTGTATTGATAGAATATTGTAAAAATTTTTATTTTTAAAAGCCCAAAATCTTTAGAAACCAATATTTTTAATTAACAAAATAAGAAGTAAATAGAGCTATATAGTTATGTTGCAATTTAGTAAACAAAATCTTGTTTGCTATTTTTGGAAGACAAAGACTTACTATATAGGAAATACAAGACCACATATGGGAAACACAAAAGGATAGCATGTGTTAAACAAATTTTTGTATATAGGTGATACAACAAGATAGCATGGGTTGAACAGTTTTAAACATGGTTTCAACTAGAAAACACAAGTAGAATTTTAACAGATATATAAAAGACTTGAATTTGTCTTTCTTCACTTTAATTTTCCCAACACCTTTTTTCTAATAATTTAAACAAATAACCTAAACCTTCTTAACAAAATGTCTTTATCCAACAACTTGTCTACTTGGATTGCTCCCTGACTTTACTACAAGATTCTTGAACTGCAGGAGTTATATAAACAACTGCAATATATCAGAACCATTTTGTGTGATACATCAAGTACAAATTTTATTCTAAATCTTATGTAGTCTCTGCAAATAACCATAATCTACTTGGCCAAATTAAGGCTGAATTAATTTGCATGACCTCTGATAAAATTGTCTTTGTTACTATACCTATGGGACCAATGTTTCAATAAAGTTCTTGAAGCATATGACAAAGTTGTTAATAGGAATAACTATAACCAGAAGCATATTCTTGTATATAGTTACCACTTAGGAGTTCTACTATTTGATAATCCCTACTACTAATGCAAAATTAAAACAAACCGGTTTAAAGGTTAAAAAAGGACTTATCAATTGTTTAATACAATCAGATATGAGCAGATCTATCATACTTAGACCTTCACTCTTAAAACTATTAGTAAACTCAGTAAAACCCATTTCAACTAGCTTTTTAATTTTTGTAGATAATACAAAAGTCAAAGAATTTTTATGGAGTAAAAATCTTAAGAGGAGGAAAATATTATAAAGTAGATTTTTTTTTTATAATATTTTAGTATAGAAATTTTTAGTCTTTATTAATTTAGTATTATCTATTAAAAATATATTATTAGTTAGTTTATTATTAGTTATATTTAGTATATTATTAATAATTGAACAAATTTATTTATAACAGCATGTAACATTTGTTATTTATCACTACATATTTATTATTAATTCAAATCACATGACTTTATATATAAAATTCAAATTTTATTAATTATAATAAAAAAATTAAAGTACAAATTAAAATCCTAGAATTTGGGACAGTACTATATCAGTATATACTTGCAATTCAAAACTACAATGCAATCAGTCTTACTATATTTTTCCGAATTAACGCGCAGTAGTGTAATTTCGAAATTTGGCTCGAATTAAGCTTAATTTGGGCCAAAATTCAAAATAACACCCCTGCGTATTATTTCATCAGACCCAAGTAAATAGCAAAATAATATAAATTAGAATAGACACATAAAACTATGATAGTACGTACGTTATGTATATACGATAGCCGATTTTTCTATAGTACATACTTATCCAATTAAACATCTTATCAATCGTACGTGCTATCGAATTTTGCATCTATCTATTCTAATAAACTATAACCTAGAATCGCTCAGATGCAGTTTATCAATAATATAGCATAGCAATCATACAGCAATTACATATAATACAACAATCATACATCAATAACAATCACACATCAATAATCATCAAATAACAATCGCACATCAAACAACAACCACACATCAAATAATATATCAAATAATAATCGACAAACTTTTCAATAACCCACCAACATCAAATTAACCAACTTTCTTTTGACATCTCGCACTATTGTGCCCAGTTTTACCACAGCTTTGACATATATACGGCTAACAACGAGGCTTTTCTGTTGCAGCTTTGAACCTTTTGGTCACAGGCCTGCTCTATGCTTGGTAATCGCTGGATTTTTGATTGCAGAATTATTTTCCTTTTCACTGTCTTCGCTGTCATCACTGTTTTTAGGCTCTTCATTTTGTATTAAAAGACGCTTCTTTTGATTAATAAAGTGTTTTAACTATAGTTTCATATTATTATCATCACATTCTACAGCCAATTGTATAGCTTGCTGCGCAAGACCCCAAATTTCACCAAATTTAGAACATCTGGCTGCTACACTTCGGTTGCTTATTGTTATTGAATGGGAAACTGTAAAAGGTTGAAGAATCAAAGGTGTTTTTTAACCTTGTTGAGCTTCACTAGCATCCAAATTTGCGAAAATCATATTTTTCTGATCAATTTCTTTTTTCTTGCTATCACAATATCAACACGACGCTACCATTCCAATATGAAATCCAGAAATTCATGACACCAATATTACTTGAAAGTAATGTCGACATAGAATACCACGGGATATATTTGACATACATGTACACATATAAGAAATAAAATCAAGAACAATAACAAAGTGTTTTCTTTGACTGTTTCCAGATCGTTTATTAGTGATTTGCCAGGTCTCTTTAATATTAATTTGATCCACTTTTGATATCATTGACTTAAGTAAAATCTGCTTCGCATCATAAACATCTTCTGTAAATCGATTACTTATATTCTCATTCTCGTCATCCAATCCAATTACTGTTAAGTCAACTAATGTTGCATCGAAGTATAAACACTGTGCTATTTCAATACGCTCAATAGAACGAATTTGTGGGGTCAAGTATTCTAAGAGTATATGGTCAACAGCAGGCAATATTTCACTACTAACAGATGCAATCCCAACACATGATAACAGAGTCTGATATTCAAAAAAACAGTTCCACTCAGCTTCTTTTTCTAATTGTGAATCTAAAGTCTTCACCAAATCACATAAACCACTATTACTATGTAATACTCTTTTGATAATGTTGTTATACCTATAGTATGAATAGAATTTAGTATAACATGTCAGATATTAGTCGATATCCTAGAGTGAAAATGCAGCAATCTAAATCATAAATTAAGACACAAAATGAACCTCAGATAAGTTGATCTCAACTACAGTAATACAGTTAGGGGATATACCGAATTAGGAAATTGAATTCTAGAATGATCTATGTATCAATTCTCGAATTTGATTGGCTCTTACGCACCTTTTTGCTAGCATTTTTCAAAAATTTTTTATTCTTCGAATTCATTATTGGAAATCCAAATAAAAGCACAAGTAGACGATATAAGATATCTAGTTTAATTAATCCACAATAATCCATGCGAGTTAATGCTTGTCAAAAAAGTAAATAAGACCCGAAATCTACGCACAAACAGAAAGGTAAGAAGGTAATCTTGATCGCAAATTATATGCTTTATGCTTTTAAGCTTCTTACTTTTGCAAAAAGACTAAGACAGCTTTTTCTAGAAGTAAAAAAAAAAGCCGCCATAAGAAAAGATGTCTTTGTCCTGATATGATTATATCTTCATCACGATCTACTGATCTAGCATACATCTAATAGGTTTTT